AACATCACAATAGACATTTATACACCATTCGATAGCCCTTTTCAAGGGCTACATTCTAGACTATTTGTTTTTGAAAAAGGAGCAACTTCGATTTTTCACCTAATGTCCGCCTAGATGCCCACTGTGTACCCCTCCCCTCTTTTTGAGATTTCCGTAGAAATGCTGTGAAATACAAACTAAACGTCGCTAGGGCTTCGTATTTTCAGAATTGATTGGAAACTCAATGGAGCACTTTTCATTTTTGTTTCAAGTTTCCAGCTATTGCCATTCACTGGTTTTTCGTCGTGCCACAATTCCAACCCCCCACCCCCTCTTAAATTTCATCCGGTCGAGTTCAAAATTTTACCAAAGGTACTCAAGGTCATTCCGCAGAGGTAGTTTTTGAGAAACTTTTTTGAGACCTTTCCTGGTCGAGTTATAGGAAAAATACTGAAAAACGTCTCAAAAACCAAGCTTCTCAATTTTAGAAACCCCATAAGTCGGTAAAGAAAAGTCTAAAATAAAATTCCAAAAACATACCTCTGCAATAGTATCTTGAGTACCTCCGATAAAATTTTGAACTCGATCGGATGAAATTTAAGGGTGGGCGTAATGTTGCACAATAAAGCCTGGTAGCAAAAAAGCAGTTTTCGAGAAAAAACGCATTTTGTACATAGGTCACTTTTTCAGAACATTTGCCGCGATGCTTATATCACCACGAAAACTCATCAGAAACTTCTGTAAAACGTCTCATTGTGAAGAAAACACTTTCTTCTATCAGACTATGTATAAGAAAATTTTTGCATGTACAGAAAATTGAGAGAAAAGTTTATGAAATTAAAAAATTGAGTTTTTTAAGGTTTTAAAGGGAAAACTTCGAAAATCCATAACGTTTCTGAAAAATGATCGTGGAGTACTGGGAGTGGTCTTATTTTGTAGCCCACAATTTTGTTTACATTAGGCTATGCATGCTTAGCTCAAAATTCGAAATTTTTACAAAAAAGAGGGCGAGTATTCTCAAGGACTGTATGAACTACAAAGTGGTAACAAGCCCAGCATTACAACGCTTTTTGTTTTTGTAAAATAAAATCAGTCCGAGAACATTTTGAATGCAACAGAAGCGTTTTCATGTTTTGGGAGATCAAATTTTCTACGGCTGATCTTTTGCTTGAAGTTCTTAGCGAAATACCAGATTTTGGTATGACATTTCAATAGGCTAATTTTCTGTGTTTTTCTTCTTTAAGTGAAATGACTTTTCTACAACTTTGTGTCTAGGTAATATTATGTCGTTTAGTCTTTGTATAAGATATAAAATACAAAACAAATTCTACGAATCTGTAAACTTTTCTAGTATCATCGTAGCAGGCAACGTCGGTGCAGTCTTTCAAAATCGCTATACTTGTGGAACGTGAACGTTTAAAAAATAGATTAATAAGTTTCTGTCATGATTTATTCAAATCTTTCGTTTTTCTTATGCTTTCTAAATATTTTTCTTTCTTACGCATTCTTTTTCCGAATAATTGCGTGCTTTTTTATGTTTGTCATGAAGAGAAGCGAAAGAATCAGTTTAGAATTTCCCATATAAGCGATTTTTCCTTCTGTATGAGACACGTCGACGTTACGTAAACTACGGCTCGTCATTCGAAAACATTCTTAAAATTTTTAATCTTTTAACTGTCTTGACAATAAGCAATTCTAATATGTGAACTTTGTCATTCATAACATGCAGAGTTGTAAAATAAGATTGCAACAGCATTGAGTAATTTAACTAAGTAAAAGTTACGTTTGAATATGTTACAGAAAAGAGATATTGGTGATCCAATTTTGTACTCATTTCGACCGCCAAATTAGAAAAGTTATTCCATCCTTTCCTACCGATAGATCCTCTTCTGGTAAGAAACGAATAAAACTTTTTTACTTAAAATGATTTCTAGTCCGTGCTACCATGGTGAAAAGGATTATCCGTCTTTTAAATACAACGTAGTGAAGAACATGGCAGGTGAAAATTTTATTATTCTTTTGGATGAGTAAAGAGGCTCCATACAGAATATTAAAAAAAATATGAACTTCATCGATGTATAGTTAATAATTCCTTGTAGTACAGACGTGATAGTTCTGCAATTAGCTGTGGTTCTCCGCTTTTGCTATTACTTTAACATACCACACCCCTTCAGGTTCATCTTTGTAATCTAACCATGGTCGTTGATATTGTAATGCTATTTTCGTTATTTTGTTATTGACACTTCCAGTAAGAAACTCCCATATCTCATTACCACCACCACCCAAGACAAAGGGTTTGTGACGATTTGATTCGTAAGAGCACGCAACGAATGACGTTGCTGATGATGAGGGTAGTAATAACGATGGTGTTGACGCTGGATGTATGAACCAGCTAAATCCTGTAGAAGGATTTGACGAAAGCTTGAGGAAGAAGTGTGAATGTGCAGGGATCATGAGAAATGACTGAGATGTATTGAACGTATTGAACGACGATCGACCTGTGAATGTGGAGAGTGTTTTTGCGTTTCTAGGGCATGCATTTACCATAGATACGACGAAAGTGAAGAAAATGAAACGAATGAAAGACGGTAAGATCATTGCTGATTCTACTGTAATACCGGATCTAAAAATTGTAGGAGCACATAGAAAAATTGAACCCCAGTTAAGAAAGAAGACAAAACAACAATGAGAATAATGAGAATGTCTTCTAAATCAAATTATTAGTGTACAATAGGGTATATGAAGTGACGGGAGATGAATTTTTCAGTTTTCATCTTTCGCTCCGTGATACTGAGCACATGCAGTGAATCCATTATGGCCTAAGGTATAACTCCTTTTATCTAGGATAGTCATTAGAAACGCTGCTAAACTTAGCAAGAAATTCAAACAGGAAACATTTGCGATATTGGGACTAAACAGTCTACCAGAAATTAAAATGTGACGATCATTTACCTTTTCGCTAAGTTCCTTCACAAACATACTGACAATAAATGAACTACACAAAATGATGAATGATGAACGAAAAGTCCAAAAAACTAATAGCCTGAATATTTGAAACTGCAACTCACAAATCAAATGAAAAATATAATACATTCTAAGAAAAAAAGCTTGGGGTTAAACAGTTTATTAAATTAAAGTCTAAATAGTCTTTAGATATTACGGAAACGTCTGCTTTTCTGCTTAAAAAAATTCCGTACGAATATCTTCAAACATTATCCGTTCTGTTTAACAAATGCGCTCAAAATGGAACCTTTTTCCAACAGAGTAAACATGCAAAAATAATTTGCCTTTCTAAAGACGGAATATACCAGAAGGTAAATAGAATGAGACCTATCTCGCTATTACCAAACATAGGCAAATGGTTTGAGCGCATTGTTCATGAGCGTATAATGAAATGGTGTGAACGGAAAGGAATCCATATTGACAAATAATCGAGGTTTACCCCTGGTGGGAGATTACAAACAAAAACCCTATCAATATGTGAGGATTTAAGACTTACAACTGCTACCTGTAATTGGCCAGCGCTAGTTATCGTCGTCGATTTTTTATCTGTGTTTGACAAATTTTGGTATCCGAACTTACCCAGTCGGTCATAGTCATTCCGAAAACTGCAGGACTCCGAAACTTACCAAATATCTTACGTGTTTAGCGAATTTGTGGCACAAACACACAAGAAGCTGCAAATGTAAGGAAAACGACACTCGGGAAGTGTATGTTGTCAGGAAACTGAAGAGCGAAATGTACGTTTTTCATGCGTATAACTTCTCGAACATTACTCCAGTCGAAAACATTTCATATCTACAGAACGAAAAGTTCGGGAAGCCTAAAAATTTGAATTTATAGATTTTCGATCATGCCTCTACAAGATGAAACTACTTAGAAAAATTTCTGAAATTTTGAGCTTGGCTTGTCGTGGCTTATTTGCAATGGCTTCTAAGGATTTTTTTTATTGAAGAAAACTTTTTTTCTAAATTCGAGTTCTTTTATTTTTATTAATATCTGACGCATAATAACACCATATTAAGCGAAAATAATCATTTTTTAACTCAAAAACATGAGATGTCTGCCTGTTCTATGGAAAAATGTCCACTGTGCGAAGAAACCTCAACTCACATATAAAAGAATTCTGCTTGCTTTTGTAAATTTTTTCAAGTATTTAGGTGTTGAAATTCGAACTAAAATGGGTTGGAATGAATATATTTTTGGAAGATTAGACTCGTATACAGGTTATGGAACTGGGATGATTTCACAACAATGATATTATCTAGAAAACTGACTCTGAGAGATTACTTACTACGATATTGTTTAAGATTATATAAGCATCTCTCTGAGTTTTCTGAGGCACTTGTCTATCAACAAACCTGGACTGCGTATCAGATTGCTACCCAGCCAACGAGGGAAGGGTATAGAGCGATTCGGTTCCGGAAAAACAGTAGATTTTCTCGGAGACTTGCTGATAGAGCACATCACACGAATATAGACGTTCAAGAACAGCAATATAGCGTTTATAAAAAAACATCAACAATAGTTCAATTTTTTGTGTACAAACTACTTTAACTTACCACCTTAAATATGTTTTTTTGTTTGTATTTGTTTAATAATAAAAGTTTTATTGTCTGTTTAGTTTTACACTTTTCTATTACTTAATTTGTGCGTAATTTAAGATAAAATTGAATTTCTTATTGCTTAATCCTTCTACCTATCCTTTTTATCCATCTTCTACTAATATGATTTACTTGTGTTATATGTACTTTAGATGAATCTTTTTTGTTAACCTTTTTCAAGGAACAAGTAAACTATGTCAATGCTAAAAAACAAAAGCGATTATATATATATGTATATAATATAACAGATATATATATATAATATAGAGATTATAATATATATATATATATATATATGATGTGCATGTGCAAAAAGAGACATCTCCCTTTTTCCTAGATGCCTATATAATTTAAAGATATGTATCGTATCACCATTTCAGACATCAAGAAAATAAGAAAATATCTGTTCTACTACACTATATACTAGAGCACTAGCAAATAAGGAGATATCTCTTTTCGCACATGCCTGTCTTTCTGTTCTCTTTCGTTTCAGTCGACGCGCTGAGATGAAAAAATGTCCGCACACGGGATATCTTATGTGAAAAGAGATATCCTCTTATTTGCTAGTGCTCTACTAAAATCTGAATGAAAAAAACGTCCTGAGCTCGTATTCTTATTTTGAACTGATAACAATAATAAAAGTTTATTCTCAAAATCTGAGCGCATAGAGGAGTAAAAATAATTTTATGTTTTACGGTTCTCCATGCTGCTGCGGAAACTCACACCAGAAATGACTGATTTTATCTGTGTATTTGACTACAGCCATTGTGGTATTCCTTCATACTGAATGACTTGTAATTGTGTACAGTTTTGTTAAAGAAATAAAGGTAAAAATAAAAGGAAAATAATTTAAGTGACTCAATTTTGGTATAAGAAATTTTCTTTAAATTGTAGTGATCGTTTCAATCTACACTAGCTATCAAACCGATGAGTCATCATATACACTTCACCGACTAAAAAAAATGAAGAAGAAAAAAGCAGAAGCATCATCTTCCTATTTTCTTTTGTGGTTACTCCAGAGAGAATAATAGACAGAGAGGATACACAGAGAGTTTTCGGAAATCTTCTGTTTTCAACTATGCTTGTATACGCTTTTAGTAGAGTGATGGATAGAGTATGACCTTTACAGATCATTCAAAAAGCATGTCTCAAAATGGATGATATGTATGTGCTTTCTTCTTGTCGCATCTAAGCACAATCATAACTTTCTCTTCTTTGACTGCGTCTCATCTAGGTGTACGAATAATCTGTCTTTATTCTACAAACCTCTTTAGTTAATCTAAAACAAAATAAAGTTTACATCGTTAACTCGATAGAAAACTATGCATCATCGTAGCCTAAATTGCTATAAAGGATATATGAATTTACTCGAATCTGAAATACATTCGTCATTTCTTCTGAAATCCTCCTATCAAAAGTAATAACTCAAGTGCAGATAATAATTTTTTTAGCGTAATAAAGGTGTAAGATTTAAACTGTCAATTTCATGTTTAAGGTATTACCATATGAATTGCTTACACGACCAAAACTTAACTGATTCAACGGTAGTATCAATCATATATCACTCCAAGGTTAAAAACAGTATACTAATTTTTCCAATCTTTCTTTCATCTCCTTCAGACTCAC